TGGGAAGGAGGTCAGCGGCAGGGCAGGCTCAATTTTGTGCATGAGAACTGGCTAAAACGGTGGAAACACATGGAGGGAAACCAGGGGGGTGGGGATGGAAGCAAGTGTGAGGCCTGTGTTGGGTTGAAGGACCCATATTCTGCAGTGCCCGCATGTCGCTCGGTGTTTTCTCCAGTGCCAGCATCGCCACCCTTGTGAATGCAGCCGCTTTCCCCAGTCGCAAGGCAGGCGGAGAGAAAGGGGAAGCCGCGCTCATCATCGCAACCGCATTGATCCGATCCCGGTTACAGGTCGGGCGAACCTGACCCGGCGCTGCGATGTAATCAATCCGACACTGCCAATCGCACCTTCCATGTCCCGGAGGTCAGCCCTGCGGCGTACCAGGAAAGTGGTGTGGCGAGCAGGGAAGCCATCCCAGAACTGCCGTGTCCTGATTTTGACAGAGCGGTATTCCGGCCTCGCAAATGCAAAGTGGCAGTTCGGTTCATCCTAGCCCAACTCACTTTCTGAATGGTTTTCCAGATGGTAACCTGAAATATCATGCCTTTGAGGCGCATGTCCTTCGCAAAAGATAAAACCTGAAACGCCCTAAAGCAGGGATCCCCAACCTTTTTGAGGCTGTGGTCACCTTTGGAATTCAGCCACAGGGTGGTCGCCACAACCGCAAAATGGCTGCCGTCGGAGGCGGTTCCAACCACAAAACCGCTGCCACAGGAGGTGGAACAACAGAGCCGGAGTCCGAGGGAGAAGATGGCACTATACCTGCTCAGGTGTCTCCCCTCCCCAGGCTGCTCTCCCAAATCTCCAGGAATTTCCCAACGCCGAGTTGGCAACAGTAAGGACAGACATCCCTATTGGGGTCTGGTCCCTGCCACCGATTCTGGCCTGCTAGTTCCTCCTAGGCCAAGCCAGCCCGGCTTGTGTGCAGGTAAGGCAGGCGGTTCCCGGCCAGAAAGCTGCCTCCAGTTGCATCAGGTTGTTGTGCGGAGGTTGGCTTCTCCCCCCAGGGCACCGGCTTCTACACTATACATGCTCAGAGACACTCTTTTAATCATTAAAGCTCATGTTCCAAAGCAAAGACCTTGGTGCTGGCGGCCGGGGGTTTCTCTTAGGAACCCTGTGGGCCATCACGTGATTTCCGGGACTCCTTGGCATGTCATCTTCCGGGTAGAGCCTACAACTCCAGACTGCAGAGATCAGTTTCCCTGGTGAAAATGGCTACTTTGGAGCGTGGGCGCTGTGGCACTATACCTGCTCAGGTGTCTCCCCTCCCCAGGCTGCTCTCCCAAATCTCCAGGAATTTCCCAACGCCGAGTTGGCAACAGTAAGGACAGACATCCCTATTGGGGTCTGGTCCCTGCCACCGATTCTGGCCTGCTAGTTCCTCCTAGGCCAAGCCGGCCGGGGTTGTGTGCAGGTAAGGCAGGCGGTTCCCGGTCAGAAAGCTGCTCTCTGCCTCCAGTTGCATCAGGTTGTTGTGCAGGCTTCTCCCCCCAGGGCACCAGCTTCTATTCTCGCCTTCCCTTCTCCCCGCAAAGCCGGTCAAGAGGCGATTCCCCGACTGAGCAACCCCCGCCGCCGCCCCCGATCAATCATGCAACTTCCAGAGTTTTTTGAAGACTGAGCAGACCCGGATCTGGCTAATGACCAATCCCAGGGAAGAGAGGATCGCTTGAAATTTAAAACAAACCGACCAAAAAAACACCCCAAAACACGCTAAGAGGCGTGGGGGGGGGCGGTCTTGCAAAGGAAGGACATTGGAGGGCGTGATGTGGGAATACATCAGGTGCAGTCTTTTGGAGTTGGAATGAAAGCGAGGATCCTTTAAAACCAGGACATCTGGCAAGCCGGATACCGACACCGCGCGATTCTTCTTCTTATGTGCATTTCAGGGCGTGTGTGGAACCCCAGGCCCGTTTGCGGCCCAGCTGCCTCCTCCCCGCGCTCCGGTCCCACCCAGAGATCGGATCTTGCAGCGGACTGGAGCGAAGGGGGGGGGGAGCGCTAGTACAATCCCGTCCCCCCTCCCGTCCCCCGCCAGCGGCTGCTCAGTGCGAGCGGTGCCTTTTTTTTTCTTAATGAGTGCAGCCTCCCAGGCAGCCAATCCGGAGACGGGGTGGGCGTGGCCAAGCGCTGCCCTGCTGAATGAGTCGGAGCTCCCTAGAGGTGAAGGGCTCCAGTGTGGAAATAACCGGGGAGCTGCAAAAGTGGGACGGAGGCAAAGGGGGGGAGGGGGAAAAGAAGTGGTCCGGGCGTGCAGCAAGCGAGGAGGGGCAAATCGACGGGGGTTTTCTCCCCCCTTGTTGCAATTAAAGGGGGGGGGGCGCGCCAGCAAAATTCCTCCTTCTCCTTTCCACGCGCAGCTCTTTGCTTGAAGTCACCCCACTAGCCAAGGTCAGGCGAAGAAGCCCGGGGCGGCGCACCGTTCCCGGCTCTTTGCACCGCGCCTGGTCGTTCAGCCCTTGCTGAGGAATTCCAGGCGACGCGCGGAGGGGGGCGAGGAAGGCGCTCCCCGCGACGAGCTCCGTCCGTGCAGAAGCTCTCGGGTCCCCCTTCCACTTTCTCCCCACCCCACTCCGCCCCCCGCCCCATTATGAGGACGGCACTTCTCTTGACCTGGATCGTGTCCCTGAGTTACTTCGCACCCAGAGGTATGAGCTGGGGGGGGGGCTTTTTTGTTAACGGGGGGGGTCTTTGCCCTTCTGAAGGGGACCCCCCAATCTTGCACTCCACTCGGGCCCAATTCGCCCTACTTTGCCAGCCCGTCTTTCCAGGGCCTGGACGGGGCGGGGTGGATTTAGGAAGAGAAAGGGGGGGGCGCAGACTTATTAAGGATTATTTGGGGAGGGGGGGTCCCTGACTCTGTTGGTGGGGTTTGGCAGGCAGGGCAGAGATGGAAGGGGCGGCCAGGACTCCTGGGTTCCTTTGGGGAGGAGGAAGGCGGTGGGACTCGGGATTGTGGGAGGGGGGCGCGGAGGGAGGACGTGTCCGAACTGTGCCATTGAATACAGCAGGATGTATGGATGACCTTGAAGAAAGATCGGCCGGGGAGCGCCGCTTCTGCCGCTCCCTCTTGTTTATTGTGGGGGGCGGCCAAATAAATGGTTTACCTGCCGACTGCCCCGGGGGGGGGGGGGTTTAGTCAATCTCTTTCCCCGGGGAGGTCCCCCCTTTTAACGATCCCGCGTTTGCATTTTCATTCTCAGAAATGTAGCGCTTGTTTGTCTGCTTGGAGGGGAGAAGAAGAGACTTGAATCTCCCGAACTATGCGGGTGGAGACCGAGGGGGTGGTTGGTCCGCATCTCCTGCTGCTGCCCTTATTCCCTAAAGTGCTATTAGGCGGGAGGGGTTCTTGGGGTTAGGGTTGCGAGAGGAGCGGCATGCGGCGGCGAGACTCCCCCTCGTGGCTAACCTTGAAC